TCCTTATGATGATTTAACAAATATTGAAAAGATAGGTGAAGGTGGGTTTGCAACTATATCCAAAGCTACTTGGTTAAGTGGTTATAAATATTTAAGTATTGGAAATAAAAGAGTTAGTGAAGATAGGACTGTGGCATTAAAAAAATTACATAATTCACAGAATATTTCAGATGAATTTCTTAATGAGGTAAATTATTTTATTTTTCTTTATTTCCAGCTTTTTAAATATTATCAACTATTATTGTTGTAATTAAATATTTTATTTATTATTTAGTTCAAAAATCATATGAAATTTATTAATGAATGGAGAGTAATTCATATTTATGGTTTAACACAAGATCCAATTACAAAAGAGTATATATTTGTAATGAAATATATGAAAGATGGAAGTCTCCAAAATTATTTAACTAAAGATTTTAAAAATTTAAAATGGAAACAGAAAATTACTATTCTTCTTAAAATTATTGGAGGTTTAAAGCTATTCATGAAAAAGAAATCATTCATCATGATTTTCATAGTGGTAATATTCTTCAAAGTACACAATGCCATTGTGGGGGATTTGGGACAAATCCGCCTAAGATGGTATTAGTGTGTCTGTCCCGCCTGGAAGACCAAAGAGCCAACAGTTTTTTATTCCGGATTTTTGACCACACTTGAAAGTGGCAAATTTTAGTTTTTTTGTAATGGTCAAGTCTACAAATCACATCCAGATGCATATCATACAAGTAGATTATTAGATGAAGAGATTACTAAATCTAGAAGCTTGAAAATTTATAAAGTAATGATAGTTTGTTAAATAACCTTGATTTTAACTCTTTTCTCTAAAATTTTAACAAAGGTAAATAATATTTTCATTATCAATTAATTGAAATTACTATCAATATTAATTAATAAATAATAAAATTGATTTAATCTCCATTATAATTTATTCATTTTTATTTTATCCTTATTTTGTTTCTTAAAGCTAAATTATAATAATATTTCTTATAATAAACTTTTTACAGTTTTTGATTCACAATAATTTGGTGCTGGTCAATTAATTAGTTTATGAATTTACATTGGTTCTCAATTACTACACCTAGATAAATCTGTGAGCACACTTAATGATGCCATATAACCATAACTAAATAATGATGGCCCTTTTGCAATGCTATAAAGGTGTATTCTTATCCAGTGAAATTTTTAGAATATTTGCACACCCACTGGAGCAACATATGCTTGCCAGGAAAAATATCTGTGTGCCTAAGGTAATTGAAGTGAATGGTAGAGTTAAACTTTGTATTCAATGAAGAGGCATTTTGCAAGTGGAATTGAGTTCTTGAAGCATATGATCCATAATAAATAAATAAAAGAAAATAGCCTTTATTTACAAGGCAACAAAAAAAAGTTTTTTATAAAGTATTTGTTTTAAGTATATAAATTGTTAATTATTTTTTTACAAAAGCAAAAAAAAAGTGAATCTTTACAATTATTTTTGTAATTGCTCAAATCTTTTGCAGAAACATTTTAAATTAAGTAAAAATTGTTTGTAACATTGTTGATACCATTTTGTCATTGAGTAGTCAATTAGAATATATGTCAAATATTTTTAAAAATTCAAAAACATTAATATATTAATAATAAACAAATTTATCTTTATAAAATTTTTTATTATATTATAATAATAATAACAACAAGAAGAATGGTGATAGTCACTTCAACGCAAGGAAGGGTTTACACTAATTTAAAATAAACAAAGTATAAAGCATTTAATATTTTAATTAATCACTAAAAAATTTTTTTGATAATATCTATAACAATAAAATGATTTGATTTATTATATATTAATTATTAATAACCCTAAATTTTGATATCTTTCTAATATTTTTCTTTCGTCACTTTTTAGCAGAAATGTATACCAATATTTATTAAATCCTATTACTAAAGGTTTGAGTCCTCTCCAATTCTTCACTAGAATATCCAAAGAATGGTTACTAACATTACAAACCTTACAAGAAAAGGTTATTGACTTTAAGTTTTTTGGTAATGTTTCGTTTAATACTGTCAATATTTTATCAAAATCTATTTCATCAAAAGTACTATAAAATCTAATACTTTTTAATTTAATGCAATTATTAAGTGCTTCCATTAATTCCTGGTCTAATTCATCCTTATATATTATAGATAAATCTTCTAAATTTTTACAATATTGTGCAATTGATTGAAATAACTTTCTCAAGAATTCATCATTATAAGCACCAATAACATACAGATTTTTAAGATTTTTTCCGTTGATATTAATAAAATCAGGCAAATCTGACACATATGGCTGATAAGTAATACGTAACTTCACAGATTCAATATTTGGCAGTGAAATATTTTTCAAATTTATCATATTTTTATCAGAATCAATTGATAATTCTAAAGTTTTTAAATTTTTAAAAGTTGGTAATAAGAAATTATCAAA